TGTAATAATAATTTGGACAACTTAATGAAAGGAATTGTGAAAGTAATAAATGCGGAAAGTGATGAGAAGTTAAAGATAAATCGCCTTAGAAATATCAAACAAGAAGATAAGAAAATGATGTGAGGTTATACCAGTAGATTCAAGGCTTATGCAGATGCTGTGAAAGACAAGATAAGAGATAATGAAAAGCAGAATTGGTATTTAGATAGAATACGACAAACTTGTTGGTTAAGAGTAAAAAACTTTTGCCTGAATGATTTCACCAGAGCTAAGGTGACTGCACTTGAAATTGACAGTTTTTAAAATGATAGAAAATGAAGAGAAAAAAAAGGCTTACTTCTGATTGAAGAAAAGCTCCATTCGACTGATCCAGATATTGATACTGTAGCATTAGTGCTACTCTTGAGGTTTTTACTCTAGATCGAGTAAAACAAGAAAACATTAGTGATAGTAAAATTAATAAGATTAAAATGGATATTAAAGAACTGATAAAGGCAGTTAAAGAACTCACCAGTAATAATCTGTCTTCTAAACGATCTTGTCCAAGAAGCTTAAGCCTTATAGGTCCTCAAAGAATGAATGATAATAACCAGTGTTTTATTTGTCATCAAGAGGGACATATCTCATCTAATTGTTCGCATCAGATGATTTAAAACCCACCTGAATGAAGAAATGAACAGAGAAATGCAGGAAATGAAGATGTTGAAGTGATAGGGGCAAACATCTAGTATTTTGAGATGACAGAAGGGTCAAGAGATCTGGAGTTAAATGCTTAAAAGTTGAAATAGAAAAAGGAGAACACTTATTTGACATAAGAAATTAGGACCTCAGAAAAAGAAAGCATGTTGATGAAGGAGAAATAATGGGTAACAAAAATAGAAAGAAAAAAGAAAAAGTTAATGAAACAAAAAGTGCTTCAGTGGAAATAAGAACCTTAAGCTCTGTAATGTATATTCCACTATCTGAGTTGAGTCAAGAACTTGATGTTTTTAAAAAGGTTGCTGAAATGGAAGTAACCTTGACCTTAGGACAATTATTTAAATAGTTCTCAAAAGCTAGGTCAGAGATATTAAAGGCATTGACGCGTAAGAGAAAAGAGATCGATGTAACAATGATGAATACAAATGTAAGTAATGTTTGTGCAGTACAAAACATAGTTACGAAGCAAGATGGTGATGTCCTGATAGGTGTAGTAACTATTAATGGAGAGACAGCTGACGCTTCAATTGAACCTGGATTACGATTAATTTTGATGCATGAAAAATATGCAAACAAAAGAGGGTTGATATAAAAAGCAGTGAATAGAAAAAGAAGAATGGCTAACAATAGTGTATATATCAAATATAGAAGTTGATGCAGAAGGAGTGATAGTTAGCCAAAGTTTTTTCGTCATGGCTTCTGCTAGTTTTGATATATTACTTGGAGTGCCATAGATTGCAATAGCAAAATGTGAGTTGAGATAGAAGAGTAATTAATATTGGTGTTCTATTGCTTCCAAATATAAAGAAGTATCCTTCATTGCTACTATAGTACCAGAGAATTGGATAAGTCACTGGTGTGATGAGGATAAAGAAGTTGGGAGCAATGAAGAAGATGATGAGATAGGTGTATTGTTAATATGAAGAGTTCAAGTAGAACAATCTGAAATAGAGAAAATGAATGATGAATATAAGAATATTTTAAGAAAGGCTAGTAATAGTAACTGATTAATGATAGAAGTACTACTAATTGATGATGATCAACTTGAAGAAACTCAGCATTGTAAGCAAGTTATTAATTAGACTGTAGATTATGAATACAAAAACGGATTAGTAAATATTGAAAAACCGGAGCTAATTATGTGATTCACAAAAGAAAATAGTACTATCCTGAACATTAATAATGCGGTATCAAAAGAAAACAAAGAATACTTAATCAATCGGCTAATTGAAAAGCTCCCCAAGGTGTTTGCATTTGAACTTTCTGAAATAGAAAAGACAAATTTGAAGTGTGTATTGAAGGGAAAGTGATTTCTGAAACCTGGATGAGGCACATACATATCAACAATTCAGAGCAAGCTCAATATTTAAAATGCAGCTTAGAAGAATAGATTATTGGAAAAAGAAAAAGGTCAATACGCGTATTACTGTTTTCAAGTAAACAAAAAAGAAGATAAAACTGACTAATTGAGAGTTGTAAGTTATATGTGACCTTTGAATAAATTTATTGTAAAAGATGGTTATCCATTGTTACTGATCCGTGATATACTTGAGTTGGCAGTGGGTACGACTGGTACTTATCAATTCTCTATTAATTTTCCTTATTTTTTGATTAAAGGTATTTTTCTTCTCTACATCTATAATTGTATTAATTTTTCTTTTAATTTTCCATAGCCATCTACTAAGCTCTACTACTACTCTATATAGCTGAGAAAGTTTCTTCGTTTGATTTTTACAGTGTTCTGTGCTTAAGACTTTTTTCTTTAGAACAGTCTTGTTCGCTGCCTCTATAATACTTCTTTCTAGTGTGCTCTAGCATTCACTCAAGATATCGGAGATTGGCTGTCTTTCTTTTGCTGCTATAGTTAAGTTTTGAAAGAGTACTTCTTTGTTTTTATGCATTTTGTCAAGCTTTGATTTATAGTTATTCCAATCTTCTTTGCTTGCCTTATTATATAAAATATAGTTCTTTTTCTGTTATTTTTTTTAATATTAGCAGAGCTTGTCTGTGCTATATAAGAGCTAAGATCTAATATTATATCTGTGCTACTATGATCACTCTCCGTACTCGTAGACATATCTATAATACTGGCTGCTTGCAGGCCATTTGTTAGCATTTCTGAGATCCAGATTTGGTCTATTCGTGTTTTTGTGTAGGAGTTTGACCATGTAAACTTCAACATCGATGGATTTATCACTCAAAAGGTGTTTGCAAGGTTTTGCTTAATTAGCCAATTATGTAATAGGCCTGTTTTAAGTTTTTTTGTTACGTAATAGAGAAGTTCTGTCAAGCTATTGATCTGTAATTGCATTGAAGCCCCCTATGATAATAAAGTGTATGCTGAAAGATCTTTTCATAAATTTTTCCATAATGTTTTTCTTTATACTTTGTCTTTTAACACTATTATTAAGTGGTATGTATATGACTATTATAACTATTTCTAGTTGTTTGAATAGAAAGCTTATTGTCAAACTATATTCATCAAATCTTTGAATAAAGCCTAGATGTTTTTTCCACCTTTTTAATATTATGCAACCTACTTCTGAGCCTTTTTCTTTTTTTGACTTGTGCTTGCCCAGACTGCATAGTATCCTTTAAATAGAATATTAAAAAAGTAGCATTCTTTTTCTGAAATATTGGTCTCAATTACATCTACTATATTATATGCATTCTCTGTCATCCAGTCTATTAATTAAATTTTTGTGAGTTATCTTTAAGTTTGTTAATATTATAACAT